GAAGCCACGACATCCTGTTTTCCTGGACACCTGTGTCTCAATCTGTCTGGGACAGAATAGATAGAGTCCATTCCTTGTCTTACACCACACCGCATCAGTCTATAAACCTGTTTTATCAGAACCCTGGATATACAGGATACGACCATTTTTTTTCTTATACTATGCCACATCAGTCTCTAACTTTGCTGATTCAGTAAACTATCTAAGCTGAACACAGAATCATCCTAAAAGAGTAGTTCATAAAACTCAGTAGGAACCACTGTTTACCAGTTATTCCTGGTCAATTTTAACTTCAATAATAGACTAAGCTCCTCAGTCCAACTTAGTAGTATAACTACTATTGGTCTAGAGAGAGAGATGTACTGTAACCACTGTTCAGTAATCTTACATTGCTTGTCTGAAGCATGGACCGTTCACTAATTTAATGTACAGTACCTGTTCTATGAAAACTCTTTTTGTAACAATATGTCAAAGTGGTTGTTATTTTCATATACATCTATACTGATGACCTGTACAACTTGGAGACTGTGACTTATAAACTTGACCATTACCAACACTAAGTTTTATTATATAACTTCAAACTAGTTTATGAACTGTAGTGTTGTTACAATCAAAAACTTTTTATTACAACAATTTTGATGCATTGAGCCTGGTGTAAAGGTAGGTATGAAATCCTGTACCAGAAATATATCATTAAATATCATTAAAGTAAAACTTGACCACTATAACCTGCACAACTTGACTAGAACCTGAAAATCTTGACCACTAGGACCTGTAAAACTTGACTACTATGACCTAAAATATTGACCATTACCTGGTTTTTCCCTGTTTTAACTGTAAAACTAAACGCAGCTCACAAGATCTTTCGAATTTAAACAAACCAATTTCAGCCAAAACCGGTTGTGCTAAATTGTTAAAGCGCTAGGCCTTTTTCAATTATTTACAGGCTTCATCTTAGTTACCCCATAAAACATTGCAAAGTTCTCTCCCTTTAATTTTTCCGAAACTGGAACTCTCATTTTTTTATAACCAGAATCAAATACAAAAAAAAATCAACTGCTCTTTGAACACTGGTCATGACAAGATATCAAACTTTCTTTTTTCAGGAATTAGTGATTAATGGTAACTCCCATGAACCAACCAAAATTCTCTGTTATTTCAAAGGCAATATATGTACAATTTCAGCTATGGACCAAGCTTCAAGTAGCTTTTCTGACTGAAATACATTGGGTCTGTGTCCAGCTTATACCTAAGAAATATGTAGTTTTCTGACAAAGCAGAGTCTGAACAATCCTTTTGTTTATAACACCCACAACAGGCAAAGCTACACACCGTATTGTAAACCAAACCTTTATGGATCCAACATTTTATTTTAATTCAGATCAGGCAACGCCCTATTTCTAGAATTTGACACCTGGGCTGGCCTTGATTCAAATTTTTGGCCTGCAGAACAATATTTTACATCAAATAATTGGAAAAGTTGAAAATCCAAAGTCTAGTCACCTTTAGCAGCATTGATCACAATAATTAAAATCAAAAATATTGTGGGAATATTTCTTGTCAAAATGGTACCAAGGAATTCACAACAAGAGGCCCAATGGGCCTGAATCGCTCACCTGGTATTAATCTCACACTTGTAATCTTAAAAGTGGACTAAAATACAGCTACATGCAGAATATCAGTGTTTGATTCATAAGAACCTATTAGAAGATTTAAACATATGACGCCTGTGACCTTGAATGTCGAACAAGGACATTAGGTTGAACAGAGTTTAAAGTCTTCCAACCCATCATGCTTTCGGCAAAATATCATAACCCTGGACCTAATGGTTATACAGAACAAGTCATTTAAAGATTTAAACATATATTGACCACTGTGACCTTGAATATGGGTGAAGGTCATTCATTTTGACAAAATTGGTAGCCCTTCATCCCAGCATGTTAATGACCAAATATCAATACTCTTGGCCTTTGGCTAATTTAGAAGAAGTCGTTTAAAGGGTTTTAAAAATATTTGACCCCTGTGACCTTGAATATATGTTAAGGTCATTCATTTGAACAAATTTGATAGCCCTTTATCCCAGCATGCTACTGGCCAAATATCATTATCTTAGGCCTCTTGGTTATTCAGAAGAAGTTGTATAAATGTTTTAAACATATTTGACTTCAGTGACTTTGAATATAAGTAAAGATCATTCATTTGAATAAACTTGGTTGCCCTATATCCCAGCATGCTACTGCCCAAATATCATCATCCTAAGACTTTCGGTTATTGAGAAGAAGTTGTTTAAAGGTTTTAAACATATTTGACCCCTTTGACCTTGAAAATAAGTAAAGGTCATTCATTTGAACAAACTTGGTAGCCCTTCATCCTTGCATGTTGCTGGCCAAATATCATTATCCTAGGCTTCTTAGAAATATCATTATCCTAGGCTTCTTAGTTATTCAGAGGAAGTTGTTTAAAGATTTGTTAAGACAATTGACCCATGTGACCTTGAAAATGGACGAAGGTCATTCATTTGAACAAACTTGGTAGCCCTTAATCACAGCATGATACTGGCCAAATATCGTAACCCTATGCCTCTTAGTTATTCAGAAGAAGTTGTTTAAAGGTTTTTAACATATTTGACCCCAGTGACCTTGAATATAAGTCAGGTCATTCATTCGAACAAACTTGGTAGCCCTTCATCACAGCATGCTACTGGCCAAATAGCATCATCTTAGGCCTTTTGGTTATTGAGAAGAAGTTGTTTGAAGGTTTTTAACATATTTGACCCCTGTGACCTTGAATATAAGTCAGGTCATTCATTCTAACAAACTTGGTAGCCCTTCATTCCAGCATGTTACTGGCCAAATATCATTAGCCTAGGCCTCTTAGTTATTGAGAAGAAGTTGTATAAAGATTTTTTAAGACAATTGACCCCTGTAACCTTGAAAATGGACGAAGGATATTCATTTTAACAAACTTGGTAGCCCTTCATCCCAGCATGCTACTAGCCAAAAATCATCACTCTGGGCATTTTGGTTATTCAGAAGAAGTTGTTCACCTGGGCCAGGTGAGCTAAAAATTGAGGAATTTGCAGACTGTACTCCCAAATATTTACAGATTCTATCCAAGATGTATGACCTTATATCACTTTGTACAGGATATTTCTAATCAGTAGGACAGCCTTCTAAATTGTTCCCGTTGTATAAAACGGGCTATACATTCTGACAATTCCCCTATTTATAATACTACACACCTCAACATTCAGTAGATTCTAAAATGCCAATTTCCAGTATCCTTCGAATGTATTGGTTCATTTTCATTTTAAAGCTTTAAAAGGACAAAGTTAATAGGACAACATCTGTCTTCCCAAGATCTATTCAGGCAAGAAATGGCTGTTTCATAGACCTGGACTTGAAGCACAGGTCACAGGTACTTGGTAAACAAAGGCATCATAGTAACAGTAGTCAATCTCTATATTCAGTATGTGTTAAAGCAAGGTAAACCTCTGTATACTGGATCTATTATAGACAGATAATCTCTCTATGGTGGACCTGTCACTATACATAAACACATCTGTATAATGGATTTGTTTTATACAAGTAAACCTTTGTATACTGGATCTCTGTTATAGACACATAATCGTTTATATACAGGATCCCTGCTATAAAAAGGTAAACTTATATATACAGGATCCATTATAAACAGGTAAAACTATATGTACAGGATCTGTTATAAGCAAGTAAATCTATGTATACAGGATCTGGTATAAACAGGTAAATCTATATATACATGATCTGGTATAAACAGGTAAACCTATATGATCTGTTTAAACTCATTTACCCCTGAAGACACATTTGAGCTCTTCCAATTCAAAGGTTGGAATAGGCCATTATGAAAGAAATTTCAGGGGTGCATGAGTTAAAACAGGTAAACCTATATATACAGGATCTGTTATAGACAGGTAAACCTCTATGCTGGATATCTCTAATTGATTAGTTAACCTCTGTATACTGGATCTGTTATAGACAGGTAAACCTCTGTATACTTGATATCTCTAATTGATGTGTTAACCTCTGTATACTGGATCTGTTATAGACTGGTAAACCTCTGTATACTGGATATCTATAATTGATGTGTTAACCTCTGTATACTGGATATCTCTAATTGATGTGTTAACCTCTGTATACTGGATCTGTTATAGACAGGTAAACCTATGTTTACTGGATATCTCTAATTGATGTGTTAACCTCTGTACTGGATATCTCTAATTGATGTGTTAACCTCTGTATACTGACAGGTAAACCTCTGTATACTGGATATCTCTAATTGATGTGTTAACCTCTGTATACTGGATCTGTTATAGACAGGTAAACCTCTGTATACTGGATATCTCTAATTGATGTGTTAACCTCTGTACTGGATATCTCTAATTGATGTGTTAACCTCTGTATACTGGATCTGTTATAGACAGGTAAACCTCTGTATACTGGATATCTCTAATTGATGTGTTAACCTCTGTACTGGATATCTCTAATTGATGTGTTAACCTCTGTATACTGGATCTGTTATAGACAGGTAAACCTCTGTATACTGGATATCTCTAATTGATGTGTTAACCTCTGTACTGGATATCTCTAATTGATGTGTTAACCTCTGTATACTGGATCTGTTATAGACAGGTAAACCTCTGTATACTGGATATCTCTAATTGATGTGTTAACCTCTGTATACTGGATCTGTCATAGACAGGTAAACCTCTGTATACAGGATATCTCTAATTGATGTGTTAACCTCTGTATACGGGATTTGTTATAGACAGGTAAAAGATCCAGATAAAGCTAAGTTTATACATGTAGACTGATAGATGACAGAACTAGCTGGGGTCTGATGGGACCCATACACAATGTGTACAGGTGCCAGACAATGTTGAGGTGCTGCACAGGTGTATAAGACACAGCTGTACAGACACAGGTGTATGTGTGTAGTTCACGTATACGTGTAGTCATACTTACATGTGCTATACCGTTTACCCCATACCCTGAATTTACAAAACCCTGAAAAATACAAAACATGGAATTAGCATCAAATAATGAATATTGTTGGTTTGCATGTATAAAACAAGGTGAAAATCAAACAACATTTTAACCTAGTAGATAGGGATACATATTTTACTAATATTTACCAATATCTGTTTCACAAGGAATTTTCTTGGTCAATGCAAATTCACTAAACATGTTAAGAAAAGTACAGATATCTGTACATATAACAAATTCAGACTTAGGTAAAAATCTGTTTTTCTTTTCTTTCTCATTTCACTTAATTGATTACGATAGGAAACACATCAACATATCACACAAGTTGGGATTGAAGGAACACAAAAACAAATATGCACCAGAATACTTCCTTATCATTGAAACTCTATATTTTATTCATGTTAAAATTTAATGGTTTGAACAATTCAATTATTGTTTGTCATTAATTGTTTACACGCGTAATTTCATCTTACTAATAATGACACATACATCTGATGAGATTGGAGTGAATCATATCGGAGACGGACATAACGTGCATAAATTATGAAATTTTACACACAATTCACAACAGAAAAAAAAAATCAGCAAAAATTGCTCCATTATTGGCAAAATCTGAGTCAGCAATGTAAAACCTCAGGAGGAACAGGTCCACACTGGACACATACACAGAATGTACATACAGAGCCAGTCTTACAATCAAACAGGGGTTTCCTGGTCTTTTTAACCAGATGGTCCTTATAAAGAGGTAATAGTTAACAGGTTTTCTTGTCACTCTCTTAGACACTGGGTCCTTTGTATACAGCTGTCTTAGAGATCATTATACAGGTGATATTTCACAGGATTTTCACCCTCCTAAACTTATCATTATACAGGTGATATTTCACAGGATTTTCACCCTCCTAAACATATCATTATACAGGTGATATTTCACAGGATTTTCACCTCCCAGACATGTAATTACACAGGTGAAATTTCACAGGATTTTCACCTCCCAGCCATGTCATTATACAGGTGATATTGCACAGGATTTTCACCCTCCTGACATGTCATTATACAGGGGATATTTCACAGGATTTTCACCTCCCAGACATGTCATTACACAGGTGAAATTTCACAGGATTTTCACCTCCCAGACATGTCATTATACAGGTGATATTTCACAGGATTTTCACCTCCCAGACATGTCATTATACAAGTGATATTTCACGGGATTTTCACCTTTCTAGAGATGTTATTTCACAGGTGATATTTAACAGGAGTTTCACCTTTCTAGAGATGTCATTATACAAAGGTAATATTCCACAGGATTTTCCCCCTCCTTGACATGTCGTAATACTGAGGTGACATTTAACAGGATTTTTACCTTTCTAGACATGTCATTATACAGGTGATATTTCACAGGATTTTCACCCTTTTACAGGTTTGCTTGTCACTCTCTTAGACACAAAGACATTATAAAATGGTGATTTTTTTACAGGTTTTCTCAGACAGTATTTCATTTCAGACAGAATTCACATTTTACAAACTAAGTTTAAGGATCTGGCAAAACACTACAGAATTCAAATGCATGAAAAAAAAATTGTTCATAAAGTAACCTCCCCTTAATTTCGATTTGGCTATAACTATAGAGTGACTGGGACAGGGTATTACCAGGTTTGAATCCCGGGTATGGCCTTCATTTTCACACTCCAAACACCGTTATTGATCATTTGTTGTTTACTTCGTCTTCATCATTTTCTTCATAAAAGTCCTATAATGTTCTTTTCAGAGATAATTTAACAAAGCTTATAGTAATGACAGTAAAAAGTTGTTGTTTTTTGCAGAGGTACAGGGACCTTTAGCAAAGTAGTAGGTCTAAACAGACCCTGACCAGGTTTAACAATGGTCAGTATTCATAGGTTCTGGCTAGGTCAAAATTGGTCAGACCATGATTAACAGAAATCAGCATGATCAGTTTAACCTCAAGATTTTGACCAGGTTAAGCAATAGTTAAGATATGTCCCGACACGGTTTAATAGGGTGACCAGTTTACAGAGCCTGACTAAATTAACTTCCCAGGGAGATTACATGTAACATGGGACTGTCTAACAAAGGGGTCAGTTTAAACAGGTTCTGATAAGATTTACAACAGTGGTCAGATTAAACAGGCTCTGACTAGATTGCCAGGGCGTGTGACAGGAATTTAGAGATGACCACCTATAAATAGCTCTGCACAATGGTCCACAGGCAGCAGAGCAGAACATAGAATTGATTTTGTCTGATATTCTCTGCATATATCTTAAATATTTCATCTCCAACCATTGCCCATATGGAGTAGGTTGTAAACACTGGTGGGTGCCGGCTTGTGTAACACACCCATTAAACATTCAGTGACATTTAAAGATAGTTTGGAAATCTCTCTCAATAAGATGTTTACAATCTTTGAAAGAAATCTGTTAAATTCTGTCTTCATCATAAAATATTCACATTTTACCATCATTATTAATATCTTGTTTCAGATCGTCGATGTTTTCAAACTCTTGCTTATACTGATTTGTGATGTTAAAAAAAATGAGTTTTCATATTTGTTATTTTTCATTTCTAAAGGTAACACGAGTGATGTGGTTATATAAGACAATGGAGGAAGGACCTGTGAATACCTGAAACATTGACAAGTCTTCCAACCTATTTATAACACAAAGCTTCAGTGTCTTACAGGACTGGAACTTCAGAAAAATACTACATACTTGAGGATGAATTTTTATATGATCATGTGACCACCATCGCCCTACAGATAATTATATGCATTTTCTGTAGTCTACCCAAGCTAAATGACTATAGACTGTTTCATAAAAGTCCTATCAGAAAAAAGGACGAAAATCTGCCCAGTCGTTACAGGGAACTCTGAATCTGTTCCATCCTAGTCAGTAACTGACCTTGCAGTTGGAACTTAATAAGAGGACACAGATCCCTATCACAAAGGAATGCTTTTATTTACTTTGTAGGTAAACTCTGACAATAGGGAAAGTCGTTGGTGATTTCTCTTGCAGCACTCCCCAACCAACAGGGAAACCAGGTATATATATATGCTGACTAGGCCTAGGCATAACACACTGTGGCCCTGATTACTGTAAACCTTCTGACAAAGAAGACCAAGCCTGCAGCTCTGTTGAGCTGTATGTACGCTGTACACACACACACACACACACACACACCAGAGCGACATGGCCGCCCAGCAGGGAGCAGACAGTCCCATGTTTACATTGAAGCCAATGTGATATCTACTATAGGTACAAAAAACCCAAAGACAAGACAGTCTACTGGTACCTCGCCGATTGATCTACATCATAACTTCTACAACAACATCACTCCGTCTACCTGTCCTTTCTTTCCTCTTACATACCATTTTTGAAAAGTTTCCTACATAATTCTCATCTTTATCCTTCTTTAATAAAATAAATATTCCATTTCAGGATGGATTTGACTTTTGAAATGATCAATTAAGAGTGCTGAAGAATAAGAAGGGTATATAGGTAGATAGGGTGACAATCTTCACAGAAAAGTATAGATGGGTGAAGGAAATAGGGGAGAGGAAGAAAAAACCCTCTATATACTGCTATCAGATATATGATTCACAGTGATGCCTTATTGATTTTTGCAAATTTTAACATATCTTGCCAATACAAAATGTCAACCTTAAAAGTTGGCATTTAGGCCGAGACACCAATTAGCACTCTTACCAATCCCTGCAGTGACCTGTATTACAGCTACAGACTAGTGACAGCAAAGACTAACATTGACTATAAAATTGAACTGAAATGACAGATATTTATCTGTGAAAAGGAGAACATTTTAGCCTTACTTGAGCTACTACATTAAGTCACTGGGGAAAGTCATGCCCATGGAGGGAGGGGCAGTTGTGTATATATAACTTAATTTAGCATTAGTATATAATTTATATAGATCAATTTACTCTTGGATTATTGACCTTGACCTTTGTGTGACCCATGAGCATCCACATGTAATCTGATCCCCCCCTCCAAAATAAACAGCACAAAGAAATCCCCCCCCCCCCCTTAATAAACCCTCCCTGGACCCTGACATTGATAGGTAATGTTCCCAGGGGAACCTCATAACCATGCCCTAATTCATTCAGTCTCCTCCCATTGGGGAGCCCCAAGTTGAAGTGTTCCCCCTGTGGAGCCCCTCCTATATAATAATTACATTAATAACCATAGCAGTACCATCTGTAAGCTGACAAACTATGACTAACACACAATTACAACTTTCTACTTCTGTAGCATCAATATACCACTGACAGCATGGGGACACTGGCCAGCTACAAAATAAATCTCTGCATCTTAGAAAGTAAATGGAGAAAAACAATGTCAAAAACAATATACTGAGAACTAAACAAAAAAGTACTATCAAAAAATTAAATAGAGAACCATGATCAAAAGCAAAATATTGAGAATCACTTTGAAAAGTAAAATACTAAGAATTAAACCAAGAATACTGTCAAAAATTCAATACAGAAACAACAATAAATTAACACTGTCAACACAGAGAAACAATGTAAAGAATGACAACTTTTCAAGATAAATCCAGCCGTATCTGTTCATTGAAGAACAGATTTTTACAGCTCAAATGTGATAAATGTTTTATAATTATCCAGTTTATTTCAATCTTATTAAAGAAAATAATGTTTTTGACAATGAAAATTGTTAGATATTGGGGATCAGGTTTTCAGTAATTTCATTTGCGATGGTCAAGAACATACAACCCTTTATTTTTTAAGTGAATCAATTTTATATCAAAATCTGTGTAATCAAATGAAATCTTAAAATACAGAATAATTTACACAGGGCTTGAGTGTGTAGTAGTTAAATTTGAACTTTTCCAAGAACGAAGGATGTTTATACATCCCTTTTTAAGTGTTTGGGAAGTGAGGGGTAGAATCTGGATTGATATATATATACTTTTATCTCTGAACCTTAATATCCGCCATACAGATTAATACGGTGTAAACTACTGGTAACGACCCTGAATATTAATAAGCAGGGCTAGAAGTTCATTTTGAATACCAGTAGTCAACTGGGGTAGTAGTTTCCAATTTTTACTAGTCCATGTGCAAATTCCACAACCCAAACATTTCAACAAGATAATAAATATCAAATTTTGATTAGTCAATGGGGTTAGCTGTTTTTAAAACCACTAGTCCAGCTGGAGAAATCCCTAGTCAAACTACATGGCTACAGGACAGTAGTTTCCAGACAAACTGTGTTTCTAAGAATCTGACATAAAAGCACTTGAACCTGTAAACCAGGATGACAGGGCGACCTGATAAATCACAAACAAAACCAGCAATTAATAAGGCCAAACAAAAAATATTTGGTGTTTCCAGTTACCCTACCTAACCTAATTTTTTGTGCCATCCCTTAACTTTTGAAGTCAATTTTTAAAGAAGCATTGATAAAGTCAAGATGAGTCTCCTATGTAAACAATTTAATATTATTAGTTTAAATGAAATTTGTTACAGGAAACATATATATTTTGTCTGGCCCAAGTACAATAGAAGAAGCAACTCAACTCTTCATTTGCAGGTTGGTATTAATATTTCTATATTTATAGAGAAATGAAGATAACTACTAATAAAAACCAAGACAAATAGTGAACCTTTGTTTGAGAAACATTTTTTTTCTATCCTAACCAAAATTACTAGAAATGCAATAGGTGGTGGTGTATTCCATTAAGTTTAACATTTAGTGGTAAGATAAACTATTTTCAATGTAAATTCACTTACTTACCAGGGATCAAACATACATTTGGTGCAAAATTGCCACTGTTTTTCGAAACTGCTTTTGTCCTATTTCAGCGTATCCAATTTTTGGCACTATTTATATTGATACCTAAACTCCACATGTCACATTCTAGTTAAGAGAATCCATTTCCATCAGGCAGTCCTCAATGTTGCTTTTTTGTAACTGTCCACCAATCTCAGGTTCAACTTGGGAATTGTAGCAGAGGAGGTGGACCCTTTTCACCCATGTATGTTCTCCCCCGTCTAACCAGGGGCGATTTTATTGTTCCACATGGCACAGTCAGCCATGTGATTGTCCCCCTGGAGTCAGTTGCCCATCCCACAAACTGTGGATCACTACCACAGTCCCGATTAATAAGTCACTTTCCAATCAAAGTGCTTTTCCTTTTAAATCTGTATTGCGAAAATGCTTGAAGAAATATCACAGCAGAGTAAAACATAGTTGTGATGTAGAGTGTTCCAGTAGTATTCAAAACAGATGTCGATATCTCCGGATTTTTATTTACATATATATGTATCTTGCAATTTATTATTAATATTTTCAAAGGTTTTACAACCTTTTTTTTGTTACATCATTTCTAAAGTTAGTTAAGATATTCTTTTTAAGTAATATCAAAATGTTTTTCTTCTAAATTTTCCCAAGCAAGTGCAATTCATGGGGGACAACAAGTTGTTTTTTGGAAGAGTGTCAGTATGATGGCCATTTGATTTTGTAGTTAAACCTTGACAAGGAGGCTTCCTTCACCATTTTTCCTTCAGTCTGAAGTACTTTAGTGCACTGTGGTTTGACCTGGTTTAATATGTTGCATGACCTTCATCACTGGTTGGTCTGACCTTAATCTGGTCGCCTACTAGAGATTTCACGTTCAACACCAGTACTGCTGCAGTGGGATGGTGCCTTTTGGAGCCATGTTCTTGCCTTGATTTTGTTGTCTGGCCTGGTAAGTCCGCCCTACCTGGTTGCTCCTCCTTAACGGTGTTACACTATGACATTGCTGTCTATGTTTTGCTATGGATGGCCTTGTCTAGCTGCCAGTGCTTGCCCATTCAATTAAACCTTCACCAATAGAAGTATACTAGTGGTATATTTTGAAGCCAAGTTCTGGCCTTGCTTCCAGTAGTTGCTCACTAGAGTTTTAACATCCAGAAGATATATTTTATCTTATTTATGTTGTATTAGAAAGCTACCCTATACTGTTCTGGCTTGGTTGGCCTCGCCTGGTTTACGGCTTCAGGTTTTATCTTTTGGACTGGTAGTTTATAGACAGTGTGTTTGGTGTATTGGGAAGCTACTCTATGTTGTTCTGGCCTGGTTGCCGGTGGTTGCCTACTACAGGTTAAACCTTTGGGACTGGTAGTTTATTTGACAGTATGTAGTATAAGGAAGCTACTATGTTGTTCTGGCCTGGTTGCCGGTGGTTGCCTACTAGAGGTTAATCTTCAGGACTGGTAGTTTATTTGACAGTATGTAGTATAAGAAAGCTACTCTATGTTGTTCTGGCCTGGTTGCCGGTGGTTGCCTACTTCAGGTTAAACCTTTGGGACTGGTAGTTTATTTGACAGTATGTAGTATAAGAAAGCTACTCTATGTTGTTCTGGCCTGGTTGCCAGTGGTTGCCTACTAGAGGTTAACCTTCGGGAGTGGTAGTTTATTTAACAGTATGTAGTAAGAGGAAGCTACTCTGTTGTTCTGGCCTGGTTGCCGGTGGCTGCCTACTAGAGGTTTAACCTTCAGCGCTGGCAGTGTGTTAACTACCAGCAGCTTTACAGTGCCTCGTATTGATTTTCAAGTTATCTTGTGCAGAAGTTTTTTTCCCTCAGTCAGTAGAACACATCTCCAACCAAACACCATGACAATAGAAGGAACAGCAGGAGCAGACTTTGATATAACACCCAACCCCAAAGCCCATCCCCTGGGACATGTTCCCTGTCCCAACCCCAGGGGCTGCCATGCCCCAAACCTCCATCTACAGTAACCAATGATGTCAAGACACCTGGTTCCGGCTGACTGATTTTGTCACTCCCTGAAGATACTTCTGCATTTAAGTGTCCAGTCAACACCTGTGGACCAAGTATCCAATTTGCTGATTAATTATCTACAATTTGTACTTGTTGATTGATAAAATGACTTCGACAGTTGAAAAAAAATCAATAATTACAGCAAATATGTATCAATTGCTTTAGACCAGTCTTCTGTTTCTAGTTTAATAGATTTGTTTTTTAATTTTTAAGTTGAATTAAGTTGTGATGGGTGGATTCATCAGTTGATGTCCAATTCACAACCAGTTGTTTTCTGATGTAACATTCAGCACATATTAAAGAATGTACTTGCTGCTCCCTGAGGACATCTATAAACAATGCTTTTCCACTGATTTCTACATTCACCAACTACACTGAGTAAGAAACTTGAAATATGCACAACACATAAATTAAGATTAACAAATAAAGCTCAAAGGTTTGTCCTCATACATGAACAAAAAAAATGAAAATAAAAGAAAAAGGTTTTAAAACAAGAGCTCATCCTATCCCAATTTTATTGTTTACCTAACTATTTTTTGAAGATGATTACAGAATGATACATGTATATATATATGAAAAATGTCTATGGTATGATTGATTAACTTTCTATCATTTTTATATCATATTACTTACTAGAAGAACAAAATGAGATTGAAAGTCAGAAAAAAAACCATGAAAAAATCTTCATTTTCGTGGTACCTTATTTTTTTCAGATTTGCTTAGAAGGTATATGTTGCTGTCTACTTTTTTCAGATTTCAGGCCTTGTTGACCTGGCACACAGGACTACAAAAAGGATTGATGAAATACCTGCTTATTTCGTGGGTTGGGTTTAAAAAATCATAAATATTAGAATCCTGCAGAAAAACAAACTTTACAGTAATTTTAAGAAATACAGCGAAATAATAATCACTTCACAATAAGATACATTAAAATGGTGAAATCTAAGTTTGATATGGATGTGCAACAGTTAATGTTTTTTAATTGAGATTGAAATAAGACATTTCTGCCTTCTTTTTGTTTTGAAAAAAAATATAAAAATATATATATAAAAAAAAAGACTTTTTAAAGTGCTTCAAATGAAAGTACCTGTGGAACTGTGACCTTGAACTTTGACCCTTGACCCTGAAATTTTAATGATTTACATATCACATGTCATACTGAAACTTTCATCAACTGTAGTTTCACTTTTCTGTACGTGTACATGGATATTTATTTAACCAGTAGCATCTTGGCCAAAGTATTAAACACAGAAAACCTGAGGCTACACATCAAGGTCACAGTAAGGTCACAATTCAAAAATCAAAAGATTATTCTTCTGTCTCAAATTAACCAGGATAGTTATCTTGAATTTGAAATCTACCTATAGAAATTACAACATTTTGTTCAAAACATTGAGAGAAATATAAACATCATCAGTTAAATTCATCATTATTTACCAAAACCCCGCCACACCTCAAGTTGTAGGGAAGAAATCAACCAAAAATTGTTTTTCTACTTAAGCCAAATCTTGGAATACCACCTTAATTCATTCTTCCTATATTTTCTAGCAATAAGCACAAACCTGCTATTTCATTGTCCTAGCCCTACCTCCTACTCTGAGTCATAGATGGTGTGTTGGACCCCCGGGCTTATTGGAGGATAAGTGCGGAAGTGGTTTGACAATACTGGTTTAACTTTTTTATTTTTTTGTTTTCATGGTTGAAGAGTCGACCCACAACTATCTTTCTGTAAAGTGAATACCTGAACTATGTAATCTATTCCAACATACCAGCAATTTGTACCAACGAAACACTGAGTTTTTACATTAAAAGCATCTTTTGGAAGCAGTTTTTAGTTGTAATTATTTGTGCCAGGGACAATAAAACCTCTAAATTGGACATCAAATTTGTGAATATACTAGATGCTGGTTTGTCAAGATGTCAGTCTACATGCTGGTTCACGAAGATGTTCTAAAAGCTGGTTCATCGAGATGTGACACTCAAGGTGTTCGCTCATCAAGATGCAGTAATTAAGGTGATGGTTCATCAGTTGGAAAGTTTTCAATGAAAATTCATCAATATGTCATGTTTGTGCTGCTGGTTCTTTAAAATATCAAGATCTTGGTACTTGTTCATCACTTTGTTATGTTCTAGGCATTGGTTCATTAAGTCATGTTTTAAGCATTGGTTCATCACATTGTCATGTTGGTTCTATTCTAGCTGTTGCTTCATCAAGATGCAATATTCTAGTTGCAGGTTTACCAAGACATTACATTCTAAGCAAAGAATCATGATGTCAGTGCTCTTGATGCTTGCTAATGAAAATGTCACATTCTAGCATTGGTAATTAAGCAATATGTTATGTTCTATATATTGGTTTGTTAAGTATCGTGTTCTAGATGTGTCTTCATCAAGGTGTGATACACACTTGATGGTCAGTCATCAAGATGTCATGTTCTAGAGCCTGGTTCATTAAGATGTCATGTTCTAAATATTGGTTCATCAGGATGTCATGTTCTAGATGCTGGTTCATCAGGATGTCCTGCTCTACACATTGGCTCATAAAGATATTGTGTTTTAAAAGATGGTTCATTCAGTCGTCATGATCTTCGACCTCGCTCTATTCTATATGCTGGTTCATCAAGATGTCATGTTCTAAATGCTGGTTCATCAAGATGTCATGTTCTATATGCTGGTTCATCAAGATGTCATGTTCTATATGCTGGTTCATCAGGATGTCATGTTCTAAATGCTGGTTCATCAAGATGTCATGTTCTAGATGCTGGTTCATCAGGATGTCATGTTCTATATGCTGGTTCATGAAGATGTCATGTTCTAAATGCTGGTTCATCAAGATGTCATGTTCTAGATGCTGGTTCATCAGGATGTCATGTTCTAGATGCTGGTTCATCAGGATGTCATGTTCTAGATGCTGGTTCATCAGGATGTCATGTTCTATATGCTGGTTCATCAGGATGTCATGTTTTAGATGCTGGTTCATCAGGATGTCATGTTCTAGATGCTGGTTCATCAGGATGTCATTTCAATATGCTGGTTCATCAAGATGTCATGTTCCAGAGCCGGGTTCATTAAAATGTCATGTTCTAAATATGGGTTCATCAAGATGTCATGTTCTAGATGCTGGTTCATCAGGATGTCATGTCTATATGCTGGTTCATCAAGATGTCATGTTCCAGAGCTGGGTTCATTAAAATGTCTTGTTCTAAATATTGGTTTATCAAGATGTCATGTTCTAGATGCTGGTTCATCAGGAAGTCATGTTCTAGATGATGGTTCATCAGGATGTCATGTTCTAGATGCTGGTTCATCAGGATGTCATGTCTTTATGCTGGTTCATCAAGATGTCATGTTCCAGAGCCGGGTTCATTAAAATGTCATGTTCTCAATATTGGTTCATCAAGATGTCATGTTCTAGATGCTTGTTCATCAGGATGTCATGTTCTAGATAGATGCTGGTTACCCAAGATGTCATTTTCTTTGACTTCACTCTATTCTATATGGTGGTTCATAAAAATGTCATGTTCTAAATATTGGTTCCTAAGAATGTGATGTTTTAGGCATTGGTTCATCAGGATGTCATGTTCTAGATGCTGGTTCATCAGGATGTCATGTTCTAGATGCTGGTTCATCAGGATGTCATGTTCTAGATGCTGGTTCATCAGGATGTCATGTTCTAGATGCTGGTTCATCAGGATGTCATGTTCTAGATGCTGGTTCATCAGGATGTCATGTTCTAGATGCTGGTTCATCAGGATGTCATGTTCTAGATGCTGGTTCATCAGGATGTCATGTTCTAGATGCTGGTTCATCAGGATGTCATGTTCTAGATGCTGGTTCATCAGGATGTCATGTTCTAGATGCTGGTTCATCAGGATGTCATGTTCTAGATGCTGGTTCATCAGGATGTCATGTTCTAGATGCTGGTTCATCAGGATGTCATGTTCTAGATGCTGGTTCATCAGGATGTCATGTTCTAGATGCTGGTTCATCAGGATGTCATGTTCTAGATGCTGGTTCATCAGGATGTCATGTTCTAGATGCTGGTTCATCAGGATGTCATGTTCTAGATGCTGGTTCATCAGGATGTCATGTTCTAGATGCTGGTTCATCAGGATGTCATGTTCTATATGCTGGTTCATCAGGATGTCATGTTCTAGATGCTGGTTCATCAGGATGTCATGTTCTAGATGCTGGTTCATCAGGATGTCATGTTCTATATGCTGGTTCATCAGGATATCATGTTCTAGATGCTGGTTCATCAGGATGTCATGTTCTAGATGCTGGTTCATCAAATTATCATGCTCTACACACTGGATCATAAAGATATTGTGTTTAAAAGATTGTTCATCTAGTCGTCATGTTCTTCCTATTAGCTCTATTCTGTATGCTGGTTCATCAAGATGCGATATATTAGTAGCAGGTTTATCAAGATGTTTCAGTCTAAGTATTGGTTCATAACCTTTTAGGCACTGGTTCTTTTCTAGATGCCATACTGAAATTGACAGTTCATCATTTTTTCACCTATTTAAGCATTGGTTCATCATTAGGCTCACAAAGGTGTCATATCTAATAGCTGGTTCATAAAGATTTCATGTTCTAAAAGCTGGACGATTAAAATGTAAAGTGCTGGTTCATCAAGATATCAAATGATGTTAGATTCTGGTTCATTATAATACAATGTTTTGAGTTTCTTGTTCATTGAAATATCATATTCTAAGAGGTGGTTCATCAAGTTGTCATATTCTATATGCTGGTTCATCAGGATGTAATATTTTAGTTGCGTGTTTATCGAGATGTTACATTCTAAGGGGTGGTTCATGATGTCATGTACTATTAGTTGTTTCATTAGATGTAGTAGCACAGTTGCTGGATCACCAAACAATAAAATCTTATTCACCAAGACCAAGTTCATTCTTTAATGTTGCCATGATAAGGAAGTCAGGTTCCAGGTTATTATGGTTCAAAAGGAATCATGTTCTGGGAAATGCCTGTGTCGGATCATTATGCAGTTACCGAACATATTCAATAATATAGGGGAGCTTATTGTGAAGATTGTGAATTTATTTTTGACAATCTCTGAAATATTGTTACTGGATTGAAAATGAAATCAGGAATGTTTTTAACACCTATAACATATTTTTTTTAGTGTGTGAAACATTATGACCGACAAACTTCATCACAGTTTCTTTTATTATTTGTTGATGTATCCTCCTTTTTTGCACGAGTCAGCAGAACAAGAGTTCTTAAAACAGTTTTATATGTTATCTTGATAGATTCCTGCACATATTATGTAATTGATACGTAAATCTGCCTTTATATGAGATCTTTAGGTGATTGGGTTTCCTGCACTATAAGGCAGTGTTGTCAAAGCCATGAAAAGTTGCCCATACTAGCTGTGTCACACATATGCTTCAAAGTTATCAAAATGCAGTTTCAAATGAAATCCACCAAAATGACATTCGATTCAACACTGTTGAGAATTACAGGAATTTAATTTGTGTCTTCAGACACACTTCCCACATAAAAACTGACTTCTGGGACCATTTCATGACTTGTGTTACATGACAAGCGTGTTACATGACAAGCTTATTGCATAAGTCATGTTTAATTATCAGTCTGTCATGTAACACTACTGATAACCCTTGGGACACCCTGTACTCCAGTAACCCTGGGGAAAACTAGTAACCACTGAGACAACATGTAACTCTAGAAACATAAAAAAATATTTACACAATCCTGATGACAACATGTAACCCTAGAGACAACATGTATACATGTTACCCTGATGGCAATATGTCCCCATTGAGACAACATGTAACCCTAGTGACAACATGTAACCCATGTGACAATATGTAGCAATGGAGACAACAATTTTTAGCTGGGTCCTAGTCCAATCTTCCAATGACTGACTTTAACACCAGATGTGTAGTCTTAGTTTACCAGGTTAAACTTGACAGATCGACAACTTGTTACAGACAAGACGTCTGACCACAGTGAATACCAGTACACCCAACAGCCCTATTGTGCAGCTACAGTTGGCTGTGAATATCTGTTACGTACAGTAATAGTGAATACATACCCAGTACATAAAACAGGTCTTTCCACAGCTAGTTGGACTGTGGATCTAATATTAGACTACATAAAACAGGCCTTTCCACAGCTAGTTGGACTGTGGATCTAATATTAGACTACATAAAACAGGTCTTTCCACAGTTAGTTGGACTGTGGATCTAATATTAGACTACATAAAACAGGCCTTTCCACAGCTAGTTGGACTGTGGATCCAATATTAGACTACATAAAACAGGCCCTTCCACAGCTAGTTGGACTGTGGATCTAATATTAAGACTACATAAAACAGGCCCTTCCACAGCTAGTTGGACTGTGAAAATCTAATATTAGACTACAAAAAACTGACTCTCATTATGTTATACTATCAACACATCGTACAGGTCTATGGTAATTACTGAGAGTCAGGGCTGTTTCTGCTTTTTGGGGGCCAATAATCAATGGGTGCTATTACATACTGAAACTATTTCTTCTGTTTACGTAATTCCTGAAATTCGCAGTTTACCCCTGAAAATTTCCTTCCAAATTGGTGTATTTCAAAATGAGACAAAAAGGTAACAACCCCAGGTAACAAGAAAAAAAGCCCTGGACATATCCTTGTCTGGCTTCTGAATACATAGTACATACATATAGCTACACGAATGAGACAGACGAGCACAACCAACCACGGTAATGAGTTATAAACAATTTCTTTCAGCTCAATACTCTATTCACAAATTTATTTTGCTTTCAATGATATCTTTTTTTCATAAACATGACAACAAACAGCAAAAATGTTGTGTTTGACAAATGAATTTTCACATCATTTTGCAGATTTTTATCCCTCTGATCTCCGATAATGAATCGAGACAATTTTCATTGGATGTGCTATCGCCTACATTCCTAAGGGGGAACAAGCACTGACCAAATATCTAGGGAGCAGACAGCTTCTACTTACATAATCGTGAAATGCTTTGGCTTCACTCGAGTGATCACATGTTTCCCGCCTTTCTGGTGCTGCACAATATAAATCCCAAAACACACTGAAAAACAAAAACAATCAATTAGAAATTTCATGCTACGAATTGACATTGGACTAAATAATTACAGCATTGATAGTATAACCCGTTTTTGATCCAAACTAAGAATCATCTGCAGGACTAAGGAAATGTCTAAGTTCTGCTATGGAATGCATTGTTGAACTATTTCTTTGGTCTAAAAAATTCTATGCAAAACGTAATATGTCGTTTTCGAGACACCTGTTCTCTCCGCATTTCACCTGTGCTTTTGGTCAACACAGACAATACAATAGTTGTCATGACAACATGCCGAAAAACTGGTGTGTGTGTGTTGGCTACACCTCTGACTAAATATATAGCTATTTCACCATTTCTGTCCGAAATTGCCAATCTACCACTTTGACAAATTGACTTGCTGCTATTTACCACCAAAAGTGAACCATTACGAAGATGTAGAGAACAATCATTGTGGCATCTTCAGTTTTGGGGAACATGGAATCATTTTGGTTAACACAGGGTGGTATTAAGACTTGAAAGATGAACTTGAAATTATTTTGGTTAACACAAGATGGGATTCAGACTTCAAGGTTAGCCTTGAAAACTTGTCGGTTACATAAAAGTATTGTGTTGAAATCTTTTTAATTAAATCAAAGTTGCATTCAGACCTTATAGTTAACACCAGGTGACATTTGGACCTGAAAGATCTTGCAAAGGATTTACAGAAAAAAATTCAGCTGGCAGGCCAAAATGAATGAAGAATCTTCGCGAAAACATTAAACATGGAATATGTACAGATATGAACTTTAATTATATGTGGATATTATACAGACAGTTCGAGTAGACTAAAGGGACACTTGCTTCCGCAGCAACAAATTAGACTTGAGACAATTGTAGACATCCTGCGTAGACTTGGGGAATACTTCCTTCAGCACTTTTGTTTTGAAAATCAATTTGTAGTTTATCATATCTCCTGTAAAAGGAGGAATTTTTGCATAAGGACATTTAACATTTTTACTGATCAGAATATTTTCAAAGTGGATATTGTGACACTAGCAATGCTGCTTCCAATATATACTCCACAGCATGTCAACAAAGTCATATCCAGATTTTTTGTCGTTTTATCCAACGCAAAATTAGAGAAAATGTTAGAAGATTGTCAGAAAACTGTAAGTGCTACCACACTAAGGCATAAGAAGCCACTTTTTGAGATAACAGTTCTCAAAACAATGAGAAGTTTTTGTTATTTTGTAGCATTGTTGAGGAACTTGAAGGTCATACTTGGGAACATTGTCAGAAGACCGGAGTGCACTGGTCTTCATGACTACAGTGCCTCATTTCTGGTTTGCAAGACCTGTAAGGATTGATTTACAATTTAAATGGAAGCATTTAGTCCTATAACCCACTTCAACATCCATTTCTTTAAAATGTCATGTCATTTTGTAGGACTGGAATGTCAATTGTCTTCATGGCTACAATACTGTTTTATGGTTTGCACAGCCTTACAATATTAGTTTTCTTATCTTTTGTACTTTTGGATTTGCAGACTTCATCCATGTTACCTACAAAAATCCATTCATTCGATACATCCCTTTAGTTACAATGTTGTCCTCGACTTCAAATTGATTTTTGGTTAAAAATATATCTTTGAATGTTAATAAGACTTCAGTTTAAAATATTGATTTTCCACCCTATTTCCTGGTTTTATGGACAACAAGTTTGCCATTTGAAGTATCGGACATCTAGTCAAACATGGAAGGAACTTTGCAAGTGATTTTTAATGTGGTTGCTTTATGATAGTTCAGAATTCTTGCTAATTAAGCACGAGACTCAGAGGGGTGAAAATAAATATGACACATGAATATCAAAGGAATGGAATAAATACAATCTGAGAACACAGAAGTTTTGTGATGAAAGTCTTAAATAGTTACTCAGATTCCTGAATTAGGCCTCAAATTTTATGATGGCCATTGTATTATATTTCTACTATAAAGCACCTACACTTACCCTCCCTCAGTCCACCTAGTTTCCTCACCTAAAGAAGCCCTATACACAAAAATAGGTTATAAAATCTACCCTTGTTGGACTGCACCCTTCTGTCTGATTATGGACACACTTTGTTTTTAGGCCCAAAGATGCTTTAATGTACCAAATGAAAATAAAGCTCCAAACCAAATTTTGTCCAAATCCATTCAGCTGTTCTGGACAAGTAGTAAATGAAACAATGACAGATGAATGACAGGTGATGCATCATGGCATCATATCACTTGCCCTTTGGGCAGGTGAACTAACACATTGAATATAGAATTGTGTGTATTCAATTTTGCGACATTCCTTTGTACAATATTGACTTAACAGCAGGTAGAGGTCTGGTAGTTCAATGGGCAGGCCAATAGTGATACATCTGTCTAGGAATTAGCTCAGTAAGATTGTGGGCATGGCTCCAATAGTTAGTCGGCAACATTGTGATTTTAGGTTAGAAATGGTCATATATTCTGGCGAGTATTAGTCATACATTCAAGCTGATCCAGTATTTTTTTAGGGTATTGACCAACATTTTTTTTCCATTTCAGATTATACGTAAGAATGTGTCTTAGCAGGAAATGGATGATTTCTGATTATTTATGTATTTGTACATTTACATGTAATATATGTAATGTGCAAGGTTGTATATAGTTGTGTCAACAGCTGAAAGGAATTTGGAAATAGAAAAATATAGATATATGACTTGAAATTGACTTACAAATGCTTCTCAAAGATATCCTCCTGGTTCTAATACTGGAATTGAGATTTGCTGTCTGTCTGTCAAAGGGTGTACTACACCATAAACAGAATCAGGTGTGTACTGGTACCATTACCTGGCATTACACCATTAGAAGTGTTTGGCATATACCTTCAACTTGACTGTACAAAAGTATGTACAGAGATTTGAATACCCTTGGCATCAACAAGACTGAAAATACATTTACTCAGTTCAGCTGAAACCATGAAGTGGACAGAACACATATCAACTGGGCTGAACAAAACGATCCACTAGGCAGAGCATGCATCTGGGATGAGAATGTATCACCAGCAGAAATGGGCACTAGCGTAAACCTTCAACTAGATTTACCATATACTACCAACTGATCCGATACATCATCACAGTGAGTTGTCACAAGACACTTTAACCCCAATTTGATGTATATTGCTATATGTGGACAATTCCATTATTTTTCATTTAATTTTGATACACCATAACCGAAATAGCCAACACATTCATTCTTAAGTGACTCGAAGTTTGAAGATCATGTGCTCTTGCATTATTCTGAATATGTTTGTATCATTGTGTTTTAAGTATCATATCAACAGCTAAGCTCCTTTAAGGATGTGTTGCTATGTGTGCTGGAAGTGGTATGTTGGTGTATTTGCCTCCATGCGATAGTCAGGATCTGATGCTGTCGAATGCTTTCTCTCACAAATACCAAAGACACCCTGTACAGTACTCCATTATGTGAAAATGGGTAAGCCAGTTGTTGTGCTTACTCTTAAGGATCACACTTTTACGTGGTTTGTCTCGGCCTTTGGACACAGCCCATTCCCTTCTTCATATGGGCAAAAATTCTGCAATATAGGTGGTGCCAAGGGAGACAGTATTAAATAGAAAGATTAGTTGGTTAGGTGGCACATAGGATTGCGCACTTGCCATTCACCTAGATGACCGGGGTTGGACTCTGCGACATGAATTGGTCACCTGCTTGATCACTTGGCGTTTCTCTGGGTATCACCAAACATTAAAACACTGTGCACACTTCCATCTAGACCAACAAGACTTGTTGATATAGGTTGATAAAACTTGTTTCATAATTGTTGTAAAATAAATAATGTTTTCAAGTATAAAGATCAGGAATAGAAATACAAGTAAAGATAGGATAGGAAAAGATAGATCCAACCTGTTGCAACTGGGTGTCTTACATTACTGCTGTTACTCTGAGTTGAGTTTACATGTACTTTACATTTCAGGAAGCAGCATTTACTGGATTAAGCATAAACCATCAACTTGAGTGAGCTGTACACTGTACATGACATTGTTTTGTTTGCTAAGGGATTTGCATCGTCACAACAACTATATTTGGTTGTATGAAGACAACGTCGAAAGACGAGGACCCTCTCAATGAAACATTAAGCAGGATATGGCAACTAAACATGACACTGGTTACATTAAAGAAGAGCTAAGAGAGGTCTAAAAGATAGAAAATGAGGTCCGAGAGTTGCAAAGGGCTTGAAGAATAACTTTGGAACCAAAGTAGACACACAGAAAGCAAAAATTTTCTACAGCAGGGTGGCACATCAGAAGCCTCAAATGATCATGAATTGGATCATCAAAAGGGCTGATCAAACATTATCAAACGGGCAGAACAACCAATATCATCTTGGCTGAGCATAAGCCATCATCTGGAAGAAGCACAAACCACCAATGGACACAAAAATAAGCCATCAGCCAGGCTGAGTATATACCATGAACGGGACTGAATACACTGTCACTGTTGAGTTGACACCTACTCCTAAACAGAACAATTTGCTGGGGCTTACAACATCAACTAGAGAGCAACATTCAGGATTTTGTATCCTGCAACAGCTTATTTTTGAATAACGTTAGTGTCCAGAGATGATGGGCCATCCAAAGGCAACAATAACTCATTCACCCCTGAAGACACATTTGAACTCTTCTAATTCAAAGGTTGGAATAGTACATTATGAATTTTCAGGGGTGAACGAGTTAAAGTGCCATCTCAATGAAATGTCATAACCTGGACACAGTAATATGACACTCCACTTAGTTCCATTCTGACAGAACAGTGTACCATAAGGTGTCCAAGTAGGCCAAAAAGAAAGATTAGGCTTAGTGAAATGTCGGGTCACAAGTGTTGCAATGGAAGCACTTCTGTTTCTCCAATATACTCTAAGCAAACGGCACAGAAGAAAAACCCCAAATTAGCAGGGGAATCACATTAGTTGCCTCATACCATCATGCAGTGAGATGTATACAGCAAGTCTAATCTTTCCCTTAGCCTGCACAAGTAGCATCATCAAGTGGGCTGAGCTAACACTATCAACCTGCCATAGCAAGTACCATCCACTTGGCTGAGCACACATGATGATGATCAACTAAGCAAAGTTAACGTCAACAGATCCGAGCCCATACCATAAACTGGGCTGGGCAATCACCATCATGTGGTTTGAGCAACACCGCCAACTGGAGTAAACACGTACCACAATGGACATAAGCATAAACCTTTATGTGGGTAAATCGTATACCATGACGTTGAACGGGCATGTGCACTGTCAATCGGTTATTTATGTATGCATAAACTGAACAGGACATGCATTCACAGAGTTGGGCATACAGACTGTACAAGCACTGTGAACTAGGCTCAGCAAATACCATCCATTTAGTGGAAGTAAAGGGTGGTAGTACATCGACCACATCCCCACTAATGCTGCATATGTACCATCGACTAACAATACTTTGATAAATTGGACCAACCAGGGTATGATTTTTAACCATCAGCTAAGGTGAATACATGGGCATATTTGGACAAATACATCAATGAATTGGTTGAGCATACATCTATAACTGTTGATCAACGGCCAACAAATGGGTTAAGCAAACATCATGAACTTGGTTGATGCAGCAGTGTACAATTTTAAATCTAGAGTACAAGCCCATAGGCATATTTGAAGAAATCTTACAAGCTCAACTTATTATTTCCTATTAAAAGTGAATATTTTGAGTTGGCCTGAGGGCTAGTAGAAATGTACATCCCTAGAATGTGTATGGTTTGAGTTTACCATAAGATGGTGGGACAACTCAGGTTAGCATACAACATGATCACGGTGGACCAGAAACCATTAACTGGTAAGTTATAGATCTTCACCTCTGGGTTGAACAAAACAGGAACACTGTCTTTGGCACTAACAGTAAGGACAATAACAGAATCCCATGGATGGATATTTATATGTCAGCAATGCCATAATATTATATGATATGAGTGGGAGTATAGATAGGTGGGCATCTATTTAGGTCTACATGACATGAGTTGGGGGCATTACATGGGTGGGTATATATAGGTCAACAAGGACATAAACAGGTATGACATGGGAGGGTATTTATAGAAAGTGATTCTTCAACCTCTTTTTTACAGGGGCCTGTGCCTTGTAAGTTTAAGAAAATATTGCACACAAAAAGCATGATTTTAGGAAATAAAGTGATTTTTGCATTAATACTGGGAAACTACAGCAGAAATTTTCCAGGGGAAGGGACCTTATAGCGACCTAAATAAAACGTACAGGCCAACATGACATGGTCGGGCATTCACAGGCAGGTATAGAATGTACAGGCCAACATGGGGCATAAAAGTGTTACAATTGGGTGGGGGCATACAGGGTATGGTATTTATAGGTCAACAAGGACAAACATATTGGTGAGAGTTATAAATGGATGCGTATATAATATACAAGTCAACATGATATGAATGGGGACATACATGGGCAGGTATATAATATATATGTCAACATGGGCATACACATGTGTGACGCGAGTGGGGACATACAGGGTTTGGTATTTATATGTCAACAGGGACATAAATATATTGGTGGGGGTATAAATGGGCAGGTTTATATTTCAGTCAACTTGATATGTTTGGTGGCTTACATGGCTAGGTATATAATATACATGTCAACATGGGCATACACATGTGTGAGGCGAGTGGGAACATACCGGGTTTGGTATTCGATGTCAACGTGGAAATAAATATATTGCTGGGGGTATAAATGGGTGGGTATATGTTTCAGTCAACATGAAATGGTTGGGGACATACATGGGTAGGTATATAATATACATGTCAACATGGACATACACATGTGTGACGCGAGTGGGGACATACAGGGTTTGGTATTAGATGTCAAAAGGGAAATAAATATATTGCTGGGGGTATAAATGGGTGGGTATATGTTTCAGTCAACATGAAATGGTTGGGGGCATACATGGGTAGGTATATAATATACATGTCAACATGGGCATACACATGTGTGACGCGAGTGGGAACATACAGGGTGTGGTATTTATATGTCAACGGGAACAAATATATTGGTGGGGGTATAAATGGGCAGGTTTATATTTCAGTCAACAAGCCATGGTCGGCATACATGGGTAGGTATATAATATATATGTCAACATGGGCATACACATGTGTGACTCAAGTGGGGACATACAGGGTGTGGTATTTATAGGTCAAAGACGACAAACATATTGGTGGGGTATAATGGGTGGGTATTTATTTCAGTCAACATGACATGGGTGGGGGCATATATGGGTAGGTATATAATATACATGTCAACATGGGCATATACAGGGTTTGGTATTTATAGGTCAAAGAGGACAAACAAATTGGTGGGTATATATTTCGGTCAACATGACATGGGTGGGGGCATACATAGGCAGGTATATATGTAATATATATATACAGGCCAGTATAGGCAAAAATATGTGCGATAGGGTGGGGGGATACATGGGTCGATATTTATAGGTCAACAAGGATTTTAACATGTGTGACATGGATGTGGGCACATATGGGTTGGTATTTCTTCAGGTTAACAGGGATAAACATATATATGACCTGATTGGCTTATTTATAAGTCATTGTGGACAGTCACATATACAGGGTTTATTTTGAAGTGTACTTTGGGACCAATGACCTGTCAACATTCCCAATGATCATCTTGTATTTAAACAACAGGCTTTTTATCCATTGATTTACTTTTTGAAGCTCCATTATACAAATATTCATTTTTTTTCAGAATGGTCCATCATTTTTCTTATCTACATTAATTGTGATATTGGAAAGTCAATAATAGCATCTTTTTTATTTTTGTAGATACATTTTGAAAATACATCCAGCAAAACGTTGCTCTTGGTATAACAGGACATAAGAGTCATTTCCTTTTTCTAGGGGAAGTGAAACAATAAAGAGGAACTCACCACCACCAGGAGTGTAGAAACCCAGGCGGTTCTCCTAACGTTATATTCTTTTCCCATCGTATCTGAAACAGAAAAATAAGAATTCAGAAGAAATATCCAGCATGTAAAAACATTGGTACCTATCCAAAAGACAATGAACCATTCAAATGTTTTAGATGATATGAGCATTTACATTTATTTGAAAAATTAAATGATTTGAACAAATAAGTTGAAAAATATTGAAAGATTGGGTATGTAGTGTGGGATCGTTTTGTTTACATACCCACATGTCATTGTCTTTGCTAATTATTCCACTCCTAACCTAAAAGGAAAGCCAGAATTATCTTTTTATCGTAAGATGCTGTTAGCGTGAACAATTTATTAAATGATTTAATGTTTAAAATCTATTGTTAAATATTAATTAAGAACACAACCAAATTATAATGTAAACAAATGTATTTCAATCGCCGGATGATAATGATGACTTGTGTGTCAATTTCACGAAAAAATATTGATGTGATTGACACATGCATTGGAGTCCGGTTTCACAATACACAAGTCATCAGCTGGTCCAATACACATGTATACACGCGCACACAGGTGAATATCGGAGGCACATGGGCAATACTTACTTCTGACAAAAACGTCTGTGCACTTTTCTGTGCTCCGACATGGAGTAGGTATTCATATACATAGAGGGCTAACCTGCAAAGACGAGACAGACAAGGAAATGCATGAACAGATTGTTTATTTACAAACGGACACAATGGACAAACTGGACAATTGCCCGACACATGTGTCCGACTCGAACGGTTTACCGGTACTAGAAAAGCATTTTAAGTAAACAAATGTTATAGACAGGTTCTTACACCTTTATTTTACAAAATTGTGCTGTCATAAAGTTCCAAACTGACATGAATACAACAAAAACACGATAAATTTGGGCAGTTCCACATGCGATTTCACCGCCATTGATTGGGTATGTTTAATAACGGGAACAGCCATTCTAGCTCTATTTGAATGGGGCATCCCTCTAAGCGCAGGTGGATAATACTGCAGAAATAATCTCAAATCAGCTATTTTTCACCGAAAAAATCAAAAAGGAGTCATTGACAGGTTCCATCGAAGCCATAAATTCGAAAAATAATTTTAGTTCACTTACTTTTCTCTTGCTTGTGCATCGGAGGGTACAGTCGATCCTTTCCCTTTGGCGTACATGCTGGGAGCTGAACTGCCATGCACCTGTCAAGTCATCAAGGGCGACACTGACCCCGTAGTCGTGGAAACGTGAAGTAGGGCTGTCGAAAGGCGCACGCCGATTAGTTAGTTAATTATAGTAGCACTGGGGTATCTGGAAACCGTCTACTGAAACATTGTGCGTTACAGCGACAAAGACTGGTTGGCTCTCTGCCAATATTACCAGGCTGATATATTTATTTCCAACCGACGAAGTTCGAGTAAGAAATATTCGGGACGTGGATAGCATTGTTTGACCCCGCGCACATAGGTGTACGCTGATGTTGTTTACATGAGCTGATGCTTTATGATTTAAATATACAATCATTAGACAATGATATAAAAATTAAATAATATTTTCAAATTCTCGAAAAAAGTTTGATATAATTCTATATAAATTATATATGAATTACATATTTACATTATTTTTGATAACACAATAAAATAAAGAGTTTAGATTTGAATGGCATATATATCATTTCAATCTTCAAAATACATAGATATAGATGACAGTGTTTCCTTAAATCGTTCCACGGGTCATTTTTGGAGGTGATCTGTTCAGATTAAGCTTTAAATGGATGTTATTCGAGGGAAGAGCGAAACCATTTCAGCATCTTCATCGATCTGCGACTCTAGTACGATCAATAATTAAATTTTCGCTGCCGTCGAGAAAAGTGACACCAGACAGGACCAGAGAAATACATTTTGTTCACACACAGATAAAATTCAATATTTTACTTATATACCGTTTGTTTTCTTCATTTTCGTACCAACATGCCTAAAACTAAATTTTTAAATAATAAAGCGATATAGTGGTGACCTACATACCCAAGGCTTAGCTCAATAGATATGGGGATCTAGAAACTTGTTCAGGTCAGGGGGGCTCCCAACAGGAGAACGTATTTACAGTTCACGCATATAAAAATTATATCAACGCCACATTTTATTTATTTCTGTTCAAATTTGCTATGTAAAGTTTATATTTTGTTCAAATACAACCATAAGAGGTGGCTAAAAACTACGTTTAAATATATTTAAGGAGTTGCGCCTATAGCACATGAATGATACATTGATTGACCCCCAGAACGAACAAAATCCGCTGTTCATTGCACCTCCCACGTACACCATTCCTTACATCATGGCGGCAGGTTTGATTTCTGAAGATGAATTCCTGAACTTTACCCAACATTTCTTGTCTTTGAATGTAAAGAATCGAGATACCTGGGAACTAAGGGAGTCTATCGTATGTCTGAACCCAAAAATTCACGATTTGAACTTCTTCCCTATTGTAGGGTGACGTTTTCCACTGCCTATATGGAGAAATGAGTACCTGCCTTTCCCCTCTTGTCAATCTTTCGGAACTCATTCAGATATATCATTCGATCATATAGAAAATTGTAGAATCCGAACTACATCACGTTTTCCGGGGATTGTCTCAAAAACAAAAGTAGCAACATTTTACCCGCGGTGACGGTAAAGGGACGCACGGTCCAATGCACATCATTGTTCTCATTTCTGCTGATGATCACAATGCAGATATGGACACGTTCTAGTCCCATTTTATTGTACGAATTCTCATTTCATTCAATGTATTTTACTTTGTGTGGCAAGGCTTTTAAAACCTTTCTTTAATGTAGGTGATTTTTTTTTTATCAATTTCAAGACTTACAGTCTAGGTGCTAACAACAATAAGCCCACATAAACGTATATCTATAAATATATTTGTGATATTCTTTATATATTGTTGATTACAGTATTAAACAAGTTTCTGATTGAAAAGCATATATATATACAGAGTAGAATGTCTACAATGTATTTTTTATACAATGTTTAATAATACATTTTTATCATTTTTTCCCTGGTTTAACAACAATAGTTGGTTTTTGCATGTTGGGTACTCTTTATAACATTGTTTTTTTCACACGAAGTCAATAAAATAATACATTTAAACATGCAATATTCTAATTAATACATTTCTAGCCATTAAAAGCCTATCTTTAATGAAAAATAAGACCATAAATAATATTACAATTAACAAATGTTTAATTTAATAAACATGTATTATTACCAGAAACTTGAGGAAGGTAAAAAGTAACAATAAAATAAAGAGCTAATAAAAAACCCATTATAATTCTGATTGGAACTATTATGAATATATAATAATTTTCTACAAATGCATCCCTATAAAATATTCTTGTGAAGCATATTACAGGTCATTAAAACTTGAGTTTCAGAAAGTAAAAATTGAAATCTACAATAAGCAAAAAAAGAAATAGCAGGAATCAAACTGAGACATATAGTATACACTGCCAATCATGGGCCCCTTTCGCGTATCTGGTTGAACCAGTTAAAATGGTTGAACTGAAAGAAAATGACAGGCTCATGCAGATCTGAACCAAGGCTGACCTCAGCAATATTTGGTACATGTAGATTGAGCGGTCCAGATGTGCCTGACCGAAACTAAAATGCTGACTATTACTAGTTTGCATTATTTCTTTATAAAACAAGGCAATCCACATGTAGATTTTAAGATACGTTATGTAATTTAGAGGGTGCGTGAAAGAAGGACATACACTATCCTTGAAATAGTTATTTATTCTCCAAAAGTGTGCATTTTTTAGCTCTGCCTACAGTTTGGTCCAAGTGTGTACGGTTGTTGTGAAATATATCTGCAACCACTGAACCGTTTCAACCGGGATACACGATTGCGACCAAACGTCATGATGCTTTCCAGGAATTTCCAGGAAGTCTAGATGCACAGTATCAAAATGAAAGATGAATTTCTTGACAAGGGAAGAAACTCTAACATAGAAATACTATAAGTTGCTTAAAGTTTCACTAAAAAACAGAGAGTACGCTTATGTTAAAAAAAACCAGCCTGAAGTGAATATAACTGGTTCAATCGTATCCTTTACATTAATACATTGCTATATGGTTTCTCATACAGTATATTGGATGCATTTCCATCTTAATGTTACCTTAACTGTTGTCAAACAAACAAAATAGGGTACATTTTGGGATCTACATTTTGTACAATCTACAATATTGAAGTGTAAATGATAAAGTATGTAATAATATTTAATTACAAGACATTGAAATAAAATAAGACCTCTGTTACAATTGTTAGTCATGCAATGTTTATACAAACCATAAATTAAATAAATAGACAATACTGCACATACATATCCACCTTACATCTCAGCTTGCATTAGTGCATTTGCACGTATGAATATATTTCACAAAAGCTTTAGCCCATGTGAAATTATCTATTCACACAATAAACGAGTACAATCTGAAACATCAGACGAACTCATGTGGTATTGCTTTATACATACCTACATTAATGATGTGACCGGGCAGGATATGGTGCTGGGTGCGTTCGAAATGGTATTTTAGTGAGGTAGCACTCCAAAGTTGGCATCACCTTCCCTTTACTGTTACTATGACCTTAAATCTAATGAAACCAAACCTACAATTGTTCTCCTATGACTTTCATATTTTCAAAACTGAAACACAAGTAACAACCTCAAACAGCCATTCATGTTTAAAATCGATGTAACTGAAAGGTCAAAATAAATACCTTTATTTCCCAAGCAGGACTGTTCGCTGGGGATGAATACAATATTTTTAGCTATTCAAATCACCTTGGGTCCGTGGTCCGTCCGTGGTCTGTCCTTAAACAATTCTTGTTATCAGTATTGCTCAAGAAGTACCAGAGGGAGCTTTCTCAATTCCCTCTTTCACAAATTTTATATGTTTGTTCCCCTTGTTTCCGACAGGCAGCGATCTTGGATTTTTATAGTGAAAGTTTGTTATCGCTTTTTCTCAAGAAGTACCAGAGTGATCTTTCTCAAATTCCTTATGTAGGTTCCCCTTGTTCCTTAGCTGTGCAGGGCAACTTTTTAGACTGATCAGATAAACAACATGGACCGACAGGCAGCCATCATTTTTTTTGTTATTGAAAGTTTGTTATTGCTATTACTCAAGAAGTACCAGAGTGATCTTTCTCAAATTCCATATGGAGGTTCCCCTTGGTCTTAAGCTGTGCAGGGCAACTGTTGAGACTGATCAGATAAACAACATGGACCGACAGGCAGCCATCTTGGATTTTTATAGTGAAAGTTTGTTATCGCTTTTTCCCAAGAAGTACCAGAGGGATCTTTCTGAATTCCCTCTTTCTCAAATGTTATATGTTGGTTCCACTTGTTTCCGACAGGCAGCGATCTTGGATTTTTATAGTGAAAGTTTGTTATCGCTTTTTCTCAAGAAGTACCAGCGGGATCTTTCTCAAATTTCTTATATAGGATCCCCTTGGTACTTAGCTGTGCAGGGCAACTTTTGAGACTGATCAGATAAACAACATGGCCCGACAGGCAGCCATCATTTTTTTTGATATTGAAAGTTTGTTATTGCTATTTCTCAAGAAGTACCAGAGGGATCTTTCTCAATTCCCTCTTTCTCAAATTTTATATGTTGGTTCCCCTTGTTTCCGACAGGCAGCCATCTTGGATTTTTATAGTGAAAGTTTGTTATCGCTATATCTCGGGAAGTATCAGAGGGATCTTCCTCAAATTTTATATGTATGTTCCCCTTTGTCCTGAGTTGTGCAGTGTAATTTTTAAGACTGATCGGATTAAACAACATGGCAGACAGGCAGCCATCTTGGATTTTGATAGTGAAAGTGGTTTTCTATGGCAAAGGGCATTCATGTGTTACACACTTCTCTAGTTTTACTCAACCTTGGTAGTGATAATTGACTCTTGTCTTGAATATGACATCTTTAAATGTAAAAAGGTGGCCCCCCCTTGTTGTATGAGTATGTTGGTGGAATATATAACGAGGGTGAGAAAATGTTGGAAAAAATAATTAACGAAGACCGCAAGAAGTTTAATATTTTTCCAACATTTTTCGAATCCTGAGTTATGTTTTCCACCATGATATACAAACATATGTTGATTATATCTATTCTACCAAGTGAAATATAATGGAAGTGTTTTTGTGTTTACCTCGGTGCCCATACACCTACAACAAGCAAGATGATCTAGATAATCTAATTATTTAAATCTGGCTGTTCTTTTGGGCACACCAACATTTGTCACATGAGGCCTACAATGTGTATGTCCTATTTATTTAATTTTTACTATATTTAAAGGATTTTTCAGTTTCAGTCGCCATTTGGTCGACAGACAGTATATATGATAAGCACTGCTGTCATGCATTATACAAGTATACATTTCACTCAATCAAAACCAACAATCTATTGACATGGCTCGTGAACACTTAAAATCAGCATTCAGCAGTTTAACTAACACTATTTCAAGTCACCTTCGCTGTAAGTTTGGCAGATGATTCTGACTGTGAGCTAGACAGGTTGAATGTATATCTAGAGGTTATATAGAAACAATTTGGTTTGTCCGCTAAGATAGCTTCAAATACATACAAAATTAAAACCATTCATGTGGCTTTCTTGTTTATATTTGTTGGGAGGTTTGTCTATCATCCAGTAATACATAGTTACTACTAACAAAAAGTGTTGTTACATCGCAAACGTGGAAGAATATTGTTATGCAAGCTATTACTTTGGTTATTAGCTCGCCAGGTCCGAAGGGCCAAGTGAGCTTATGCCGTGGTGCGTCGTCCGTCCGGCGTCTGTCGTCCGCCGTCCGGTGTCAATATTTTGCTTTAAGCAACTTCTTCTCAATAACCAAAATGACCAGGGAGATGATATTTGGCCAGAAGCAAACTGGGATGAAGGGCTACAAAGTTTGTTAAAATAAATGACCTTCACCCATTTTCAAGGTCACAGGTGTCAAATTTGTTAAAAACTTTAAACAACTTCTTCTGAATAACCAAAATGCACAGGAAGATGATATTTGGCCAGTAGCATGCTGAGATGAAAGGCTACAAAGTTTGTTCAAAGGAGTGACCTTCACCCATAATCAAGGTCACAGGGGTCAAAGATGTTAAAAACTTTATACAACTTCTACTCAATAACCAAAATGCCCAGGGTGATGATATTTGGCCAGTAGCATGCTGAGATGTTCGTTCAAATAATGACTTTCACCCATATTCAAGGTCACATGGGTCAATTGTTAAAAAATACCTTAAAACAACTTCTTCTGAATAACTAAAAAACCCAGGATGTTGATATTTAGTCAGTAGCATACTAGGATGAAGGGCTACCAAGTTTGTATAAATGCACAACCTTGAATCATATTCAAGGTCACAAGGAGCAAATATGTT